CAGGCAAGTGTCTTAGCCACTATGCTACCAGAGCTCCCCCCATTGGGTTTATGATGTGGTAAATCTTTATGGAAGTAGATTGGCCTATCTTCCTTCCACATAGCAGCTTCTGGGTTTGAACTTCCAACCTTCTGGTTAGCAGTTGCCAAAGGGGCAAGGAGGCTGCATCTTCTAACCTCTTCTAACCCCACAAGAAGAAGACAGAATCACCATCAGCAGTCCAAGGCCTATTCCTAAGAGGCCAGACATGCTGCCTTCCTCTAGCCCTTTCAACAACTGTTCTACCCACAGCACCTACCACCTCTTTGCTGGGTTCAATAATTCATTGCAGTGGCCACACAGAACATACAGATTATGGGATTTATTAGGGACAAATCAGACTACAATTGAAGTTTACAAATGCACTCAGTCTCTCACAGCTGGCCATCTTGGTCAGCAGCTGGCAATCTCAGTAGCACATCGCTTTCCCAGTAGTGTGTGACTCTCATGTCTCCCTCTCAGCAGTGTGTGTCTCTGATATCTCTCAGGAATGCATTTCTCTCAGCAGACTGTCTTTCTCAGCCAGCAGTCAGAAAGACTCCTTCTGCCTCTAGGAGGGCTCCTTTTGAGCCTGGTAGAGTGGCCAAACTAACCAATCCCAACATCAGAATTTTATACAGCTGAGAGAGAGAGAACTTCCCAGAAGAAAGCTTTATACCGCTCTCAACAGAAATACACCAGGTGGGTAACTTTAACAATCAGGACCTACTCAGTCACTCACAGCAAATTCCATCATGAAGTTTATGAAGACTTATGGCTGGAAAAGCCACACTATGTAATTTACTATACCACAGCAGTCAAATGACTTAGGCTCTATGCCACCAGCTCTCCCTCTCTCTCTCTTTTCATCTCTCTCTCGATATATATATATATATTTGTAATTTTTTTTCTATTTCATGTGAGAACCTTGGCAGTGAAAAAATATCCCAGCTACTTATGAAATATTTGAGGTGTGGGTAAGAGGATAGAAACAAAACAGAAGAAGAAACTATCCTAAAGAAAGAATGGTCTTCGGGCTAGAGAGAAGGAAGTGTGCCACATGGAATGATTGGGCTAACAATTACTGGAATGCACAGAATGTTTTGAATGTACTTGCATCTCTGGGTTGGTGTTTTAATTTCCATGTAATTGTAAAGGTGAGAATGTTACCATTGTATGAGTAATTTAACTGATCATATCAGAAAATGAGAACCTGACAGGACACAGCTGAACCTGAAGTGAGACCTTGTTGGGATATTTCTGGGGTTTTGTTTGGTTTTGTTTCACTATTCAGTGTTTTCTTTTCAGTTGAAATGTAATTAAAAATAATAATAAAGATTAAAAACAGACAACCATAGCCTTCCAGACTTCCTGATAAGGCAGTTTCTGCGTTTCTGCCTTTTAATGTGAAAACCCTTGGCATTTTATGAGATATAGTAATAAATAACTCCATTTAAACATTTATTTTTAAAAATGTGGCAAGTTAGCCCCATCTAGCAGAGTTAGATGAATGTGTCATTTCTTGGGTGGGATGGCTGATCAAGGAAATGGAGCATTGTGGGTCTGCCTCTTGATTATGGAGGCATAACTGAAGAATGACCAGTCTTTGTAGTTCTATTTGATGCAATTCAGCATTGTGCCTATACTGAACTGAAGCCTACAGGTGATCAAAAGACAATACTATAAAATATTGAACTGCAAGTCCAAGAAAATATATTTACTGAGATCAGATGTGTTCATCCTTTCTTTGACAGCATTGCCAGTCCAGGATCAGAATGTTACACAAAAAGTAGAAAGCATATATTGTGACAGAAGCCAAGGAACCACACTATTTACCAGATAAAAAGCAAATCCATATGTTTCCATGGATTTGAAGGCTTCAATTTTGCTTTGGACATTGCTGGAGGAATTAGCCTAATATCTTCTGTGGCTTATTTATGTTCAGGATCCAACAGCATGTAATGGTATTTAATCTTTCACTTACCATTATTAAATATTTACTATGAGGTAAGATATGGAGTTTTTAAGATAGAAGATAGAATTCCACCATCAAGGCATTAAAAACTTATATATGTACAGCATGCACATGCACATACACATGATAAACCACCAACACCAAAGATGTCAGAAAGCCTCTCTGGGACATTGACAATACAGAGGTGCAGAAAATAAGCTTTATAGTTTTCAGAAGATGGGAGCATTAAGTTGTAAGAAAAAAAAAGGGGGGGGGCTATTTTTGAAGAATGAGAGGAAATTTATGGAGATTGGAAATGTTATGATACTTGAAGACATATACAACATGTACATGAATAGAAAGGAGGAGAAAGTTGAACCCCTGAGGAACAAAGTAAACCTACCAGGCAAAAGAAATGAACAAAAAGATAATTCTACTCACTGCAGAGAACACTTTGCCCCTATTGAACCAGAAGTCATGCACATTTCCAGGAAAGCCTTCCATCTCTTGCCTCTGCAAAAACAATACAATTTGAGGTTGACATTGTGGGATGACAATCTCTTGTGGACTTCAGGGAAGAACATGCACAGAGAAAGGAACCCATATTATAGAAAAATGACATTTTATTGAGCATTTTTTTATGAGTTATATTTATAAAGAGTGAATAAAGTAGATAATATTATCCCCCTAAAAAATTTAGCACCACCCATCTGCCAGTTTATCATACTGTTGTGGCTTGTGAGTTGCTATAATACCAGAAGCTATGCCACTGGTTTTTAAAATATCAATGGAGTCACAAATGATGGACAAGTTTTAGTGGAGCTTCCAGGCTAAGACAGATTAGGCCAAAAGGCCTAACAATCTACTTCTGAAAATTAGCCAATGAATGCCCTATCAGTGACAACAGAACATTGTCTGGTACAGTTCTGGAAGATGAGCCCTCCAGGTTGGAAGGCTCCTAAAATATATGGTGGCTGCAACAATGAACTTGAGCATACCAGACATAGTTATGGTGCTGCAGACTGGGCAGTGCTTCATTGTGTTGTACATGGAGTCACCATGCATCTGAGTCAACTCAGTATCAACTAACAAAAATAAAAGACATTAACACCTAATGCTAATTGAAATGAACTGAATCCCTGCAATATTTGAGTCTTGAAGCCCAGAGTTGAAAACATTTCTAGGCTATTTTGTACATGCCTGAATCAGTATGTATTGAGGGAGGCTTATAACCCCATTTGAGCACATAGGAATTTTATATTACTCAAATTATGCTTTCATTTCCAGTCATATACTAGGGGAGGTTGAAAAGGCATGAGAATAAAATAGCCATTCAGTTTATTTTCCAAGCCCTCAGGGTATAGACAAAGGTCTTGGGGATGATTTCAGTATTTTCTGCTATCTCTACTAAAGTATGGTGTAAATTTTCTTCACCAGAAGAAGAGTAGCTTGTTTAAATAAGACTATGTGTTCATAAAATGTTCTGGTGGTACAGTGCCTAAGGCATTTGAGTACTAACCAGCAGGTTGGTGGTTCAAACTCACCAGTAGCTCCATGGAAGGAAGACAGGGCAACCTACTTCAGTAAAGATTTACCACTTTGCCAACCCAAAGGAGGTCACTATGAGTTGGAATAGACTCAATGGCAGTGAGGTTGGTTTTGGGGTTTTTATATCCTCATAAACAGAGCCCTGGTGTTGCAGTGGTAAAGTGCTTGGTTGCTAACCTAAAGGTTCAAACCCACCAGCTGCTCTGTGGGAGAAAGATATGTCAGTCTCCTTCCATAAAGTCTTGGATATCCTATAACCAGAAAAACCAAACTCACTGCCATGGAGTTGATTAGACTCCTAGTGACCCCTCCTTAGGTTTCCAAGGCAGCATCTCTCCTCAGAATTGCCCAGTCCTCCTTCCGAGGAAACTGCTGGCCTTCTAGTTAGTAGTCAAATTCCTTAGGCACTACACCATGAGAGCTCCAATGGGACAGTTCTACTCTGTCCTACATGGTTGCTATGGGTTGGAATCAACTCAGTGGCACGTGGCAACAACCACATAGCTTCATAAAGACACCCTTTTTTCTCTTATTGTTATGCTAGCTGAATTAATGTATTTGATAGGTAGCTTTATGAAATTGAGGATGATTAATACTAATACCACTAATAAATAATTTACTGAGTGAGTTTTCTGAGAATATATATTTTTCTTTTTTAATCGATTTGTATTAAAAATGCCACTCCTCAGAAGGAAGATGGAGCAATCTACTTCCGTAGTGATACTGCCTTGGAAACCCAAGGAGGGGTTGCTATGGGTCAGGTCTGACTTGATAGCACATAACAACAACAACATTGTTGTTGTTGTTTGCTGACTCATAGCAACCGCATGTGTGATAGAATAGAACTGCTTCTTAAGGTTTTCTTGGCCATAATTTTAATAGAAGCAGACTGCCAAACCTATTATTCCATACTGCTGGGTTTGAACCTACGACCTTTAGATTAGCAGTCCAGGGCAAACAGTGTCATCTAGGTCCCTACACACTTCATAGTAGGAATGCAGTAAGACCAAAGGGCTGATGATGAAAAGCACCAGATTCCCACCCACATTTTCTCTACTTTATATTCTCATTTCCTGAAAACAGTTACTCTCTCTCAACTGGGTAAGTATTCACAACATTCACCTGTCAAAACAGTAGAAAAGGTAAACAGTGAGAAGCCTTGCATCCAACCCTGTCTCAATCTGCCTGCTTCCCAACCACAGCCAACTCTTTCATTAGTTTCTTATCTGTCTTCACTGTGTCATTATGCTGATAAAACTCAAGTATATAATTTTACTACCTCTCCCTTTCTGGTAGTTACCTCCTTATTCTAAATGATAGATATTTTCATTAATTTTTATCTTCACATATCAATTTAAAATGTTTATGCCTAATTCCCTCCCATGAAAGCAATGGACTTTAGCTCATTTACACCAGCTCTTCTCCCAACTCCTCCCACAATGTCAGTCTCCTGTTGGTTAGTACATTAGTACTTTTGATTTATATTTTCAGAACCTTGCTTCTTATTTTATTTACAGTTAGATGAACTCTCTGGACACCTATTTTGTTCTGTGAGAACATCAAAACTTTCATTCTTTCTTCTCCTTCTATCTCCTATCCTCTGCATCTTTACCTTACAGTGGTAAATTATGCTGTTATGTGTCCTGTCACATAATCAAGTTTGGTCTTCCTTGCTTTGTCTACTCATTCTTTCTAAACATAAAAAAAGCCTACATTTTCATAGTTATGTAAATTGTTGACGCCTGATGTCAGTCAAGTTCTTCTCCCTTTGTAGATGACATTTTTTCTCCATCCTTTGCTGTGATCATTTTTAGTTTCTTCTCTTATTTTTCTTTGTGTTTGAATTTGAACATTCACTGTGGTTGCACATTGGTCAAGTTGCATATACTTGGTAGACTTTTGTCACCAAGTTGTCATACCTTCATCAGCTGTGTATATTTTAATCCACTCTTGTTAATTTCCCTTGCTCCCTGGATCTGCTGTTTCCTATTAGAACTCTGTTAATTGGCTTTTTGAACTTGCTAGCTTGGTGTATTTTCTGTCATAATTTTCCTGAAATGCTCTTTATCCATATGATTTTGGGTCTATTACTATGGTAGTTAAGTTTATGTGTCAACTTGGCTGGGTCTGGTTGACTGGCTGGACAGCTGGATGTACTATTCCCCATGATGAGACTGGTAATCAACTCCATAGTGGAATCTACTGTGAGCAGCTGAGTAGCTGCCTTAGGGATGTGGTCTGCTTCCTATATATAGGGGAAGCCTTGGGCAATGGTGTCTAGCTTATGGCACACTTGAACCCTGCATATAGCCGAGTCATTGTTTGACAGCCTGACATGCTCTGCCGACCTTGGGATTTTCAGTGGACTTGAATTAATGGCCTGCAGTGTGGTTTGGTAACATCAGGACTGTGCATTTTTATTTGTCAACCTTGGGCTTGTCAGCCTTAGCCAGTAACTGAGTGAAGAAAACCCTCTAGCTCCATTGCGCTGGGAGTAGGAAGCAGAGTTGAAGCCAAGGTTGAGAGGCTTTCACCCAGCCCCTAGAGCCTGGCACTTTGAACTCAGACTTAAAGCCTCCAAACTGTTAAGAGAGTAAACTCCTGTTTGTTAAGGCCATCCCATTTTTGATATATTCTTGTCAGAGCAGCACTAGGTAACCAAAACAATTACTTATTAGTTCAATGACAAAATTTATCATCTGAAAATGAAGATCATAATAATTCTCAAAGTTTTCATTAGGAATAAGTAAAAGGATGTAGAAAAGTCACTTAACACCAGGATTTGTAACCTACCTGATCAAAGTTTACAGTTCAAACCCACCAGCCACTCCTCGGAAGGAAGACGGGGCAATCTACTTCCGTAGTGATACTGCCTTGGAAACCCAAGGAGGGGTTGCTATGAGTTGGTCTGACTCAACGGCACGTAACAACAACAACACAAGAAACTTACAGGAAACAGAATTTAAAATGCAAATATATTTTGCAGAGTACTTTCATTTTTCTTCTCAGCTTATTACTAATCAATGTAGTTTTTAGCCTTTTATACTCATAAAAAGGAGCTCTGGTGGCATAGTGGATAAGGCACTTGACTGCTAACCTTTAGGTCAGTGGTTCAAACCCACCATCTGCTCCATGGAAGGAAGACGGGGTGGTCGACTTCCATAAAGATTTACAGCCTCAGAAACCCAATGGGGGTTACTGTGAGTTGGAAACAACTCGATGGCAGCGGGTTTTTTAAATATATATATACTGATAAAAAAATGCAAGCAAGTGAACACACTCACAAATAAATACTGATTTGCCATTTTCCGAGACTTCAGTTCTTCCAAGTGATTGTGAATCTGTTGACTATGTTACTTCCTTCCCAAATATGAGCATTAAATTAATTATCAGCAAAATAACATAACTGAAATGTTTCTCTTGTTATTGCTAGTCACTCTATTTGTTATTTGCAGTCTGTCATATTTTCATAATATATGTTCTATATAAAAATTTGCCAATTATTTAAATATTAAAAAATTCTGTTAGTTATATAGTGTTTTTAAATGATTTTCTATGATTTTTATTTCTAATATATGTGTCTACCCATATATAAATAATATATGCACCTACATATCTATATCTGGGTTTAATGCTATTTAACTGAAAAAAAAAAAAAAAAAAAAAAACTCATGTCCTAAGGAAACTTAATCTCCTTGAGCTAGGGATAAGTAAACCTAAGTCATACAAATACACATCACCTTGTATATTACCTTGTATTTTCCTCCTTTTGGGGTTGAGTGGATATTACTAATTTTAATTATCACCCTAAACAAAATACTTTTTAAAAAATATTTCTACTGATTTGTTCATTTTAAAAAACATAATGTTTTATTTGAATTGATACTGATAGACACTTGGTTGGCATTTTTCTTATGTTACAACTTTTCTTTGTTGTCATAATCCATAACCTTCATTAGTTACAAGAGTTACTTTTTTCTGATCTAGCAGAAAGTGCTTTTGTCTCTGTATCAAGACAACTGAAGATGGCACTGGACCTGCCTCTGGGCAATTTACCCTTGGGCAAGTAACTTAACTTCTCTGGGTCTTTCTTCTCTCATTTATAAAAGGAACAATCCAGCCTCAGGGTTTTCTGTTCTAAAATCTTATGGTTCTGTGTTACACCATTTACTGTCTCTGGGAGGCATTGATACATTCTCTTTCATTGTCAGATGTCCAGATTCTACTCGGCCAGAAACAGTGCGTCCATGTCTCCTTCCATGCAAAAAAAACTGCATTGTGACACCTTTCAGTGAGTGGACGCCCTGCCCAAGTTTGTGCCAATCAGGTGGGTCAATGCTATGTTGTGTTTCTTTCCTAACCATCTGATTGTTCTCCCACTGCTAAAAAAATAAAGAGATTGCAGATTGTAAGCATCTTTCTTTCCCATTTCCATGTTGCCCTGGGAACATGGTTTGTAAAAGTTTGTAAATGATATCTCTTATTTCCAGATCTATCATAGCTTAGATGGAAAATATATTCAGTTTGTTATATGTTGTAATTTCACTGACATATATTGCCATAGTACTCATCTTCTCTTAGTCCTGTAGTGATATTTGGTACTGTGATTCCACATAAAACACCATCACCATCATAATTTTGGGGGCTTTTATGTGCTTAGAGACCAATTTCAGCTATCTTCATTAGTTTCTAGGACCATAAATCCTGTGCTTATACTACTGATAAATATAGATTTTTTTTTTTTTAAAGGAAACATTGCCAAAGAATGGATACCAACTCATGGCAACCCATGTGTTATAGAGTAGAACTACTCCAGAGAGTTTTCTTGGTTTTAATCTTTATGCTAGAAGATTACCAGGCCTTTCTTCCACAGTACTATTGTGTGGGTTTGAGCTGCCAACCTTTAGGTTAGTAGTTGAGCACAAACCATTTGTGCCACCCAGGTGTCTATTGATAAATATCAGAATGTGAAATAACAAGACCAAATATATTAAAGTGGGTTGAACAAGTAGAAAAACTGAAATATAACCTTCATAGTGATGCTTTATACACTTGGATGTATTTGGAGGACTATAATCCTAAATCCTAGATGCACACATAGTTGTACTTTGGTAAAAGTGACTTTGTTAGAACAGATCTTTCCCCTAAAGCTGATTACAGTCCCCTGAGAAGCTGATCTATGTGGAACTACAGATATCCTAGTACTGAATATCTATCACTCATCTGCCAGCATGTCATACTGTGGTGGCTTTCATGTTGCTGTGAGGCTAGAGGTTATGCCACCAGTATTTCAAGTACCAGCAGGGTGAACCATGGTGGACAGGTTTCAAGCACACACATTTATTTTCTTGATTATGGAAAAATCAAGATCTGAATTAGAGGTATGTCAAATAATTTAACATAATTAAAAAAAAAGAAAGAAAAAAGAAAAGAAAACCTATCCTAGCATATTCTATGGCTTCTCTTCCTTGTCCCAGATTTTCCAAATGTGAGGGTGAACAGAGAAACATTTTCCTTTTAAGGTGACATTGATGGTGTTTTTGCTGTTTTGTACCATTAAGTACCACCACTCATCTGTCATTTTGCCATATTGTGGTGGCTTATGTGTTGCTGTGAGGCTGAAGGCTATGCCACTGATATTTCAAATACTAGCAGGGGTACCCATGGTGGACAGGTTTCAGCAGAGTATCCATACTGAGACCAACTCAGAAGCAGGAGGGCTTGCTGTCAGATAGAGTTTGGTGAGGCCCCAAGACTATGGCCTCTAGATACCCTTCAGATCTGGAATTGAACTCAATCCTGTAGCTTCCAGTCAAATAATAGACATGCAGATGGGCTGAACATTTACATCAGGTAGATAACACTACTGGGAGTGATAAAGCATGGGAGAACAGAAGGACAGTATATGCAAATAAAGACAGCTTGCAGGGTGGGAGTGCATGGGTGGGAAGGACCCAGGGAAGAGATAGCTATGGGAAGGAAGTGGGAAGAGAGCTGTTACCTTGTGGGGAATAGGAGTCAATGTAAGACAAAATGTGTATGAACTGCTGTATGAAAAATGAATTTGCTTTGCAAACTTTCACCCAAATCACAGTAAAAATTGAAAAAAAAAAAAAAAAAAGGAAATTTGGAAGATAGCTACCTGGGCAACTGACTGGAAAAGATCCATATTTGTACTCATTCCAAAAAGGATGATCCAACAGAATATGGAAATTATTAAACAATATCATTAATATCACATGCAAGTAAAACCATGCTGAAGATAATTCTAAAAAGGTTGCAGCAATATGTTGACAGAGAACTTCCAGAAATGTAAGCTGGATTCAGAAGAAGACATGGAATGAGGGATATCATTGCTGATGTCAGATGGATATTGACTGAAAGCAAAGAATACCAGAAAGATGTTTACATGTATTTTATTGACTATGCAAAGGCATTTGACTGTGTGGATCATAACAAATTATGAAAAACATTGAAAACAATGGGAATTCCAGAGCACTTAATTGTGCTCATGAGGAACTTGTACATAGACCAGAAGGCTGTCATTCAAACAGAACAAGGGGATGCTGCATGGTTTAAAATCAGGAAGGGAGTGTGTCAGGGTTGTATCCTTTCACCATACTTGTTCAATCTGTATGCTGAGCAAATAATTTGAGAACCTGGACCATATGAAGAAAAATATGCCATCAGGATTGGAGAAAGACTCATTAATAACCTGTAATATGCAGAAGACACATCCTTTCTTGCTGAAAGTGGAGATGACTTGAAGTACTTACTGATGGAGATTAAAGGCTGCATTCTGCAGAATGGATTACACCTTACCATAAAGAAAACAAAAGTCTTCACATCTGGACAAATAAGCAGCATCTTGATAAATGGAGAAAAGATTGAAATTGTCAAAGATTTCATATTACTTGGTTCCACAATCAATGATAATGGAAGCAGTAGTCAAGAAATAAGGTGACATATTACACTGGGCAAATCTGCAAAAAACCTCATTAAAGTGCTGAAGAGCAAATATGTCTCTGAAGACTAAGATGTGTCTAACCCAAGCCATGATATTTTTAATAGCCTTATAAGATATGAAAGCTGGACAATGAATAAGGAAGATTGAAGAGGAGTTGATGCTTTTGAGTTATGGTGTTAGCGAATAATACTGAAAGTACCATGGACTGCCAGAAGAACAAACAAATCTGTCCTTGAACGAAATGTAGCTGGTATGCTCATTGGAAGCGAGAATGGCCAGACCTCATCTGACCTACTTTGGTCATGTTGTCAGAAGGAACCATTCCCTGGAGAAAGATATCATGCTTCATAAAGTGGAGGATTAGAAAAAAAGGTGAAGGCCCTTAATGAAATGGATTGACACAGTGGCTGCAATGATGGGCTCAGGATTTGGGGGCTGACCCAGAACTGGGCAGTTTTTCATTTTGTTCTACATAGAGTTGCTGTGAGTTGGAGCTAACTTGACGGGATCTAACAGTAATAACAACAACGGTATTGAATATAGGTCTAAGATCGAGTTAATAACTTTGTCCCTTTCCTCCACATCCACACCCTAGCCTTGGTCATTTGTATGTTACATTGGCCGTGGTGACAAAGGGAAAATTAAAAAATAAAAGGAAAGAGTAAAGAAGATCAATGCTGCTGTGCAGAGTAAAATGAGGGTCATCCACACATATTTATTCCTCTCTTGACGATCATGTCCTCTCAAGCAGGGCATGATTCTCACTCTGTGAGGAAACTAGCAACCTGAAAGTAGGGGAGGAAAATATGTAGGTCATTGAAGAGAGAGCCTGTCACAAAGACTGAGAGCATTAACACCATTCCTTGGAACACTTCACCCCTGAGCATCTAAGATCCCCAAATGCTCTTTGACTTGCACATCTATACCAACACTTCATGGGAGTGACATAAAAGAATGGCCCACAAGGGCGCAGATATGATTGCCATTTCAAACCATCTCTCAGTGACTGGAAAAGGAGTAGTGACAGCTGTTGAAGATTGTCCTCATCACTGCGTTATATTTGGTTGGTGGGACATCAGACAGAGCTTTTATAACTGCTATTTCACTTTCTCAGTAGTGTTTTGTCACAGAGTTAGTATGGTAGTAGCAAATAACCATTGTTTTCCAATAGCATCTATAATTTCTATTTGCCTGACCTTTTTTGGGATGGAGTTGGGGTGGAAATAACAGCTACCTGAAAAGTCACATCTAGGGGGCTGGCTTTGGAATTTTAATGGTAACATACCTGGAAAAAAATCAGACTTTTAAAGGTAAGTAGTAGAAAACTGCAGGGAGATAATATAATTTATAATAATGGTGTTTGATTGAGATTCAGCTATTTATTTTAATTTCTGATTCATTAGAGATGAACATAATTCCTCTGTAAAATGGTTCTAGACAGGTAGAGACAGGATTAATAAGAAATACTCCCCTAGTATCCCAGCTATCAAAGTCTCCTGACACTTAAGGAAGGCATGTTAGCTTTGTTAAGCCAGGGCTTACTTTAGCCACTGCTATTCTGTGTATTGCTGCTACATCCAAAAAAAAATTAACTCTGTTGTCTGAATGTCTTCCCTTAGCACTGGCTGAGAGTGGAAGAATCATAGGGCATGTAAAAGAATCAATCATCAAGCAACTTTAAATTTTGCTGTAATTTCCAGAAATTCAATTAGTTATCTTTCTAAGTGGTTGGCATTGTAATGAAAATAGTTCTAAGCCTCTGTGGTCTCTTTTTGCCTCCAACACTTCAAGCCTAGATAATTCTTTTCACAGCCTGGGAGCCTAGGGACCTGAAGGAGCAAAGATTCAATTTTCAGATTTCTTCCAGCTTTCCACTTCAATCCTATTTACCTTCATGTTTAGTTTATACCTAGGGACCAAGAGATTATTAAATAACCATGGGTTAATTAGGGGGCTACTATCAGTGGGAGAGAATATTTGAGGAAATGGGAGTTCAAAACCTGTAATTCTCAAACTTTATTGTGCACCTGAATCACCTGGAAGCATTATTAAAGTCAAAATTTCTAGCTCTAGGGCTATAAATTCTTGTTAAATAAAATAGAAATTTTCAGATGTAAGAAGCACTTTCAATGGTGATACACACTTCCCCTCCCCCAACCTTTCTCCAATGATCTCTTAACAAACACTGCTTGAACTCTGGGCATATTGCTTTATTTGCCTACATAGGTAAATGAATTGGTTTACCTAAACCAAGGTACCCATTCTACTTAGGAATTTATTTTTAGCCTTTTAATGTACTTCCTATGAAAAAACAGACTAAATTATTTTGACTTTGCTAGGGTGTTACTTCTACCAGAAGG